GTCCCAGCCTCCTCCAGCCTGCCCAGGCTGGTGTCTCACAGCTGAAAGACAGAATGGTAGACAAGACCCCAGGGCTTTCCACAGGCCTCATGACGCCTCCTTCAGGCTCTGGCCTAGGAGACAAGGGGCTGTGGCCTAAGCTTACAGGGCAACTCCAGAAACTCCAGGCACAAAAATGGGTGGGTGTTTCCTGCTGGGTAGGAAGCCTGGGGCTCCTGCAGTCAGGGCAGCGTTAACATTCATCTCCACACCTGTAAAGTGTCTCACTCTCTGCCCTAACACCTGACAAAAAGGAAGGACCCAGATCCACAGAGAGGCAACCCTTGCCTCCATACCTTTGGCCCCAAGGATTAGATTCCCAGCGCTGGGATGTGTGTGGCCAGTTGAAGGTGTCACTGCAGGCTGGTAGGTGTCACCGCGTGGCAAGGGCCCCTGGGTGCTGGGATTCTCAGGCCCAGAGCGCACAGCATTAGCCACTACCTCTGCAGCCCTCTGGATCGTGGAGAGGAAGCTTTCACCCGCAGAGCCTGCAGACAGCAAGCTGGCATCAGCAGGAGAGGGTGCTCGCACCCTGGCCCACCTTCCCTACCTCCAGTCAGGCTCTCCAGGATGAGGCCAGGGCGACTGCCTGCTCGGATCCAGGGAGGTAAAGGCATGTGCTGCGGGTACCAGAGCTGCTACCATAGATACTGGGCATCGTGGTCTGGACACTTAGTCTACAGCAGCCACGGTGAAGGGTGTTCTAGGGGAGCTGCAGGAACTGAAAATGTCCCAGGCCCTTCACTCAAGTGTTGGGGGCCCATCCTCGCTTTTGAAGAAGGGACAAGTGAAAGCATCAGTCAGAGGCCCCGGAGATGCACAAAGGCCCATCTGTAACAGCTACAACACACAGCTGGACACAGCTGGACACGGCCTCGCATTCTGCCCCAAGGACAGCTGAGGTTACTTGCTCCGTTACGTGCTACTCTATAGACCTTCGACAAATAAACTTCCAGTGTCTGATGGCACAGGTACCCACATACACAACACTGTTACAGCCTGCACAGGTGACCCTCTAGGTCCCTGTCACAGCCTGGACCCTTGCCCCTCAAGCAGCAGAAAAGGCCGACACAGCCAGCTGGACTTAAGTCTAGTTTCTCCTTGTCCATCAAGTAGAGCCGGCCAGCCTGCCTTGCCTTCCTCCCAGCTGGGCAGAGGAAGCACAGGAGAGTGCACCGGGAGGTGGGTCCACAGGTGTAGCTAGGAGATGCTCGTGAGATACCAGTGAGGTCTGACTCTGGTCCCTTCACATCCCTACCCAGGAGCCCTGTGCCATACCTGTCCGGCCCCATGTCTTTGTGTAGCCGAAGCCCTGGAGAGCACTGTTAGGTCTGGCCTGGGCACCCATGCCTAAAAGAGGACACTGGCATCAGTGTAGGCGTCCATGCAGACCAGCCCACGTGTACCAAGAGGGATCACCCCCGATGGTGGCTGGGGGTGGTCACCAGAGCGGCATACCTGCTGGAGGCAGGGCCTGGGGAGGCTGGGAAGGAAGCAGAGGCACGGCGTCTGAGAACAAGGTGCTACCCAGGTCCTAAATGAAGAAGTGGTCGCTCAGAGTCCCAGCTGAGATTGCCACTTGGCCCATCCCTACCAGCTCTGTCGCTTTAGACACCTGTCCTGAGCTGCCCCACCAGGCACAGGGGCTGTGGCCCGGCAAGGAGCAGAGCCAGTTCTGTGTGGCAGGACCACAGCAGGCCCCTCACAGACATCCTTCCTCTCCGTGTGGCAGGGCCACAGCGGGCCCCTCACAGACATCCCTTCATTGCGTGTGGCAGGACCACAGCAGGCCCCTCACAGATATCCTTCCACTCTGTGTTCTGTGCTCTGGTCCTGTCCTGGGCTCACCTGGGCAGCTGCCCGCACCTTCTGGTACAAGCTGTTCCCATGAAGAGGGTCAGGGGGGCCCGAGAAAGCTGCAGGGCAAAAGTCAGACGGGACAGGCTGAGCCTGGGCATTGCTTACGACCCACAGAATCCAAACACAACCTTCCCAGACGGGGTGACCCTGAGACCCTCCTCGGGACCTTCAAACATGGCCTCTTGACATGTTTGAAGCAGCAGCTCCACCATCTACCTCCACAACAGTCACTCTGTCTGCCAGAGACCACGCCGACACCCACACACACTGGAAGGAACTGCTTCCTTGGGTCCATTCCCTCCCACCTACCTGCAGCAGGAACCTTTCAGAGGTTTCTCAGGGCCTGGATGGTAGACCTGAGGTCTCTATAGGGCCTTCAGGTAGGATCTATACACTGACTCCTAGGCTGGTGCGGCCCGAGCTAAATTTCCTCTGCTAAAAAGTTTCCATTATGGAAAATCGGATTTTCTTCCCTCACACCAAGCCACCCCCAAGCTTTCCCTGGCTCAGGCCCTTGCACATGCCACAGCCCCTGTCCATGGCAGTTCTGCGTCATCCTTCCAGGGCTAGGAGCCACTCCCCAGAGACCCTTAGTGGGCCCCTCCAGCCCAGACACATTTCCATTTGTAAGCCTGGGCCAATGGCGACCCCAAGCCCCAAGCCCAGCACGAGGCTTATGTCTCCCCACCCAGGGCTGCTTGCCCTGGGCACACCTGTGTCTTTGCATGCCTGTGGCTTCCTGGATGAGAGCAGAGTTTCGTCTGAGGATGAGCAGGAAGGAGGAAGAGCCATGACCACACAGGTAAAGCAAGATCTTCAGCACCTGGAGAGTGGACAGATTCTTGGGGCTGGCCTTGGCTGGGCAGTGGCTGAGCCCTGTTCTGCTGTCTACTACGCGGGGACTCACCTTGAGCTTCACGTGGCCAGAGCTACTGTCCAGGCGGTTCAGAAGGTACTCTAGCAGGCACTGGCTGCTGCCCAGGGACTCGTGGGAAATTTCTAAGAGTCATCTGGGTTAAGGAAGAAGCAGACAGACACCCACCAGGCGAGACAAATCCTCCCTCCTGTGACCATGACCCTGTTTAGGTCACACGGCCTGAAGATCATTACCATCTGGATCCTGAGAAAGAGCACTTGGTGCTCCTGGGATAGCAGAAGAACCCACCCTTGTCCCGGTAACACTTCCCGCTGTTGATAGGGTGCCACTGTTTACTCTCCCCTGCCCCTGCCAACGCAAACAGTGCAGAAGGATACTGGCAATCTCTTCAAACAGGTAGCCTGGACATGGGGTGTCATCATCTGAGGTCCCCTTCAAGAGAATGGGGAGCTGAAGAGGAATGAGGATCGTGAGGAGCTGCCACCTTACACAGGGTAGGTCCCAGCCACCAAATGACACGCAAGCAAGTCTCAAGCTTACTGGCGCTAAAAATGCCCAGGAGACTGCCTACGAGGGACCAGAATCACCCTAGTACAGCTTTAGCCAGGCTCTGGCAGGGATGAGTGACCCCAGGAAAGAGGGAAATCAATACAGGCTCTCTTAAGATCAAGATGAGGTTTAGCCCCAGCCTCTTACAGTCCTAAATGGAAGGATATTTTAAATACACCCATTTATCAACCAGCAGCAGCAAGAACCTCAGGGCTTTCCATGTACTGGATGGGCACAGTACCAGACCCAACGAGTTAGAACTGCTCAGCCTGATGGGTTTCGTGGCTCCTCAAGAATGGCTAACTTAAATTCTATATAGTCATGCAGTAACACGGCCGTGTTGGCCTGCTGGCAAGTGTATAATATTTATTTGGTTGAAATCTGTAAACATGTGTTTCTCATAACTCAGTATCTGGGCAAGAGGGTGGGGTTTGGGAATATTTCAGACAGACACTGCTAGGGCCCCACACAACCTCACCAAGCTCTCTGTCCACAGGGATGGAGGAGGCGCTCTGCAGAGTTCAGTACATAAGAACCTGCCCTAGCCCCTACATAAAAGACCTGACTTCTGCAGCATGGCTTCTTAGCCGCCTAAGAAGGATCCCCGGGGCCACTCAGTATCCTCAAGCTCCAGTCAGGAAGCTTAGGGCAGTCAGATTGTTTCATTCAACAGCTGACCATAGGGCCCAGTCTTGACAAGCTAAACAGAGGCCTGAGTTTCGGTGGTTTACCCTAAGGCAATCAACACCTGGTTCCGACAAAGACCACAAACTGAGACTACCCAGGAACAGACCGTCCAGAGAATTCCTAACGTTCCAACCTGTTGTGGATAGGGTCACCCGCCAGCACACACCCACCGCTTTTCACCAGGACACCCCTAGACAAATGTCAGCCAATCAGGGGTCCTGAACCTTATAAACCCCTCAACCCCACCTCTGCTACTATAAAAACCCAGCTCTAACTGAGCTCGGGGCTCTCCGACCCCTACAATACGTTGGACACACGGAGAGACTGAGTTTGCAAACTTGTGTAAGAATAAAGGCCCTTTGCTTTTACACAGGACTCGGGTCTCCTGGTTGGTTTTGGGGGACTCCGTGATCTGGGCATAACACTGACAACAGGCTCCGCCTTCCCCACCCTGTAGCTATGGCCTTCCAGATGCCTCCTGTCCTCCAGAGATGTGCGAGTTTCCAGGATCATTCTCAGGAATGAAGCCTGGGAAGCCGAGCGGGCCCCGCCGGAGATCGCCCGCCGCCCTTGGCCTCCTAGTCCTCCTGGCAGAGCAGGCTCGCTCGTTCTCGGCAGCTGCTGGGCAGCCCGTCCCCGCTAACCTAGCGAGATCCCCGGGCGCCGGGTGTCAGCAGCCCCTGCGAACTTCACTCACCCTCTGGAGGAAGCTCAAGCGGTCCCGGAGCGGCGGCGCTGCCGCCATGGTCCATGGAACTCCCCCCAGCCTGCCCCGCTTCCGCCAGGCTTCGCTCCTCCAATCACCGCGCAGCTCTGGCTCCTCCAGCCAATCGGCCTCAGGAAGGGGGTCCCGTCCGAAGTCCCAGTTAGAGACGGACAAGGACTAACACCAATGACTAAAGAACAGGCCAGCGACTCTGACCAATCATAAAACAGTATGGGCGGAGGGGCCGGATGTTTGCCGATTCGACGCCGGAAGAGGCGGGAGCCAATATGGCGGCGTCCACAGGAGCCTGGGAAAATCGCTCATGTCCGCCAACGGAGCCGTTTGGGGGCGCGTGCGGAGCCGCCTCCGAGCCTTCCCGGAGCATCTGGCGGCCTGCGGGGCCGAGGTAAGCAGCAGGCCGAGCCGGATAGCCGGAGGTGGGGAGGATGGTGGCCCTGGGGAGGCCGCACTACCGTCGGGTCTTCCCTTAGGCTTCGGCGTACGGCAGGTGCGTGCAGGCCTCCACCGCCCCCGGAGGCCGCCTGAGGAAGGATCTGTGCGCGCGCGAGTTCGAGGCCCTGAGAAGCTGCTTTGCCGCCGCGGTAGGTGGGCGCGACCCGTTTGGTTTTCCCTTTCCGATGTTTGGTGGGTGCCGCCCGATAATGGGGACTTGGACTGCAGAAGTCTTAGGTCCTCATTCTAGGATAGGTTCCTAGAACGACACTAATGCTGGCCGCCTCCCGGAGCGCCACGAGTGTTACCGAGGGCGGCTAATGCAGAAACAGCACCCAGTAGAACGCCCACTCAGTCACAGGGTCCAGGCTTTCATCTTTTAGGTGAGCTCAGGTGCCCCACGTACACACCAGCACCTCAGCTCTTTAAGGTGTTTGGAGACTGCAGTATTTGATGTGGTCGGGGCTTTTAAACTATAGCTAACTTGGACATTAACCCTTTCTCTTTCAGGCCAAGAAGACCTGATGGAGGCACCTAGGAAGGGCTGTGGGCACAGGTGCCTTGTACTGATGACACACGGAGAGCTTTGGGGACTGAAAGAAGGTGTGGCTGGAGGCGGTCCTGGTGTTTATGTTTCTTCTAGGCTTGAACCTTGGGCAGGGCAGGGTTTGTTTATCGATCTGATTTCGATTAAGATGTAACAGAAACAGCAATGAAGATTATTTAATTCGGCACAGTTTCATGTTTTTATACACAGAGCATGGTGTACGGAACTGGTTTCTCCCAAGAACAATGTATCCTCAGCACACCTGCCCCTCTCCCCCCCACACACAAAAAAAGCAGGTGGCATGTCTGGATCATAGAACTCTGCCCAAGGATCCCACTTAGAACTGTTCTCACCAAGGGCCAGAGAAATGGCTCAACAGTTAAGTCAAAATTCATTGCTTTCTTAGAGGACCCAGGTTCAGTTGCCAGCACCTACATGGCAGCTCACAACCATCTCTTAACTCCAGTTCCAGGGCATCCAACACCCTCTTCTTGCCTCTGCAGGCACCAGGCACACCCACGGTCCAGACATGAATGCCGGCAAAACATAAGATTAAATAAATCTTTTTAAAAAAATCCAACTGTTCTCTCATCAAAAGTATTTATTCTCAGCCTAGCATACCAGGTCCTGGATCCAACTTCTTATGGGAAAACCCCGAAGATGCCTCAGCAACCACACAAGGGGAGCGAGCCCAGTGTGACAAGTGCCGTTCAGATGGCGGTCCAGGAATTGGGCAGAGGCTTTTCTGGACAAAAAACAAGGAGGTTCTGCTTCGGACTTGCAGTGCGGGGACAGCCATCCCTGCAGCCTGTCCTGGGTGATGGCTCCTGGCTTTCCTTCTTCCCCTCTTCATATAGTAAGTTTAAAAATTCAAAGTGTAAACACACCTTTAATCCCAGCACCTGGGAGGCAGAGGCAGGCGGATCTCTGAGTTCGAGGCCAGCCTGGTCTACAGAGGGAGTTCGAGGCCAGCCTGGTCTACAGAGGGAGTTCCAGGACAGCCTGGTCTACAGAGGGAGTTCCAGGACAGGCTCCAGAGCCGCAGAGAAACCCTGTAAACAACAAAAAAGCAGAGTGCAACAAGGGATTCCGCGGGCACGAGTGCCACCTGCTGGGAAGCATGGGAAGTGCACGAGTGCCACCTGCTGGGAAGCATGGGAAGTGCACGAGTGCCACCTGCTGGGAAGCATGGGAAGTGCACGAGTGCCACCTGCTGGGAAGCATGGGAAGTGCACGAGTGCCACCTGCTGGGAAGCATGGGAAGTGCACGAGTGCCACCTGCTGGGAAGCATGGGAAGTGCACGAGTGCCACCTGCTGGGAAGCATGGGAAGTGCACGAGTGCCACCTGCTGGGAAGCATGGGAAGTGCACGAGTGCCACCTGCTGGGAAGCATGGGAAGTGCACGAGTGCCACCTGCTGGGAAGCATGGGAAGTGCACGAGTGCCACCTGCTGGGAAGCATGGGAAGTGCTCGGTCCCACTTCTCGGTGAGGAGGTTGTGCTGCTGTCCTTGAACCAGTTTGCACCTGTCTGAGAGCCTGGGTTCTGGGAATGGGGCCAGAGGCCGGCGTGCCCTACACTTTACGCCAAAATCGGCCTCCCTGCGGCATCCAACTGCTACTCTGGAACTGGCCTGGCTTAGCAGGCTGAGAAAAGCCAGATTTTCTAGTTTGAAATGTATTTAACGCTTATGGGTATTTTAGATGTATGTGTGTGCACTGTGTGTGTGCTTGGTGGCTGGGGGAGGAGGGCACAAACAAGATGTTGGATTCCCTGGAACTGGAGTTAGAGGTAGTTATGAGCTGCCACATGGATGATGGAAATCGAACCTGGGTCTTCTCTAAGAGCAACAACTGAGCCATCTCTTCAGCCTCTAGGAAACTGTGTGATAGATACTCTTGAGTCCACCTCCAGACATGACTTCTTGGCTATTGCAGACAGCCAGGTCAATTAGTTTCTGTCTCAATGGACAGTGGTGTCTGTTCTCAAGGGACCTGATGGTGTGACTGGACGGTTGCCCAGGGATACCAGGTTGCCCTCCATAGAAGCACCACCTACTCAGAGTTCTCTTCCCCACTGTTGAGACTTCCCAGCCTTCCACAGCATCCTGAAGTCCTCGTGACAGCTCAGAGTATAGCTCCTTTCTCAAGTCTTCCAACTCGGCCCCACTGAGCTCAGGTCCCCTCAAGCTTGTCTGGCAAACTGTTCTCTCTTGCTGTCTCTTCATCCTCCCCTCTGAAGTGGCAGGTAGACATCCACTGCCATTCCCGGCCCAGCACAGTCCAGGCCCACAAACTCCGCAGCCCGGCCTCCACTCCATCATTTGAATATTACATTCCTGTACACACCCAAACCCAATTCCCTTGCACTAGTCCCCAGCTAGTGGTTCTATTTTGGGAGGTTCTAGAAATTTCAGGAAGTAGGTCACTGCAGGCATGCTCTTGAAGGTTGTGCCTGATCCCCAATTCCTGTCCACTGGGCTGTGAGTAGAACCCTGAACTAGGGGTTTACAAAGAATGCGATGCATTCCTCGCAGCCTGGAAGCCCGGAGGCTAAAGGTCAAGGTCAGTACTGTGAGGCCCTCCTGCTCAATGTTCAGGGGACCGAGGAACGCAGTACAAAAGATGCCTCAGTGAGGGTGTACCTTTGTATCCTAAGCTCTTAAAGCCTCCTGGTACACTTACTTGGAAGCCCCGAGCTTTAGAGGGGCCATACTGAACCACAGCAGATGTCTTGGCCTCAGATGAGATCTCTTGTTCCTTTTTGTTGTTTTTCTGGAACTCACTCTGTAGACCAGGGTGGCCTTGAACTCAGAGATCTGCCCGCCTCCTAGAGTGCTAGGATTAAAGGTGTGCACAGCCACGTCTGTTGTTGCTGAGAACTTTAGCTCCTCTATGTTCCTGTCCTGCTGTTGCCCCGGGAACAGAAGCATCCCTGGCCTGTAGCACGGCAACCAAGAGTACCTGTTCTATAGCAGAACCATCACGGGTAGGCACCACATCGCAGTAGCCTACGCCAGGTGACCCAATACCTAAAGACTGCACTGGCAGGTGGCTCCCTGGTGCCCCAGCCTTACAGGACCCAGATGGAGGTGCTGTCTCCTTCAGCACTTCTGCAGTTCAGCAGTAAGCCCCCACCCGCCGGTCTGTGCCTTCTGAAGGAAGTATTCTCATCTGAAAGCTGTTGGACAAGGACTAGGGGGGCAGCTAGGAGGCAGAGATGGGGCAGGGGCAGCGCCGCCTGCTCTACAGCAGATGCAGACCAGGAAGAACCCGTGTCAAGGGGGATAGTCAAGAAAATCAAGCTGTGTGAAACCCCAGTCCCAGCGAGGGGACGAGAGTTACAACAGTCCAAGAGGATGACAAGGTGACATCTAACCACCCAATAATCGCTCATCTGGAAGCGTGTTTAGTCAGAAAGGCCGCGAGGAAGCCTGAGACCTGCCTTCCATTGGCGGGTCCCTCCGTGAGCCACACTTAGTCCGCCCAGTGAAGTTGCAGAGGGCCCCTGGAAGCTTCCACTGCTGCCATCTGCTGGTTTTCAAGCTGTCCAGTGACATCTTGAGAGAGAAGTGTCTGAGGGCACTGTTCTCACAGAGGGTCCAGGTTTGATTCCCAGCAGCTCAGAGCGTTCGTAGCTCCTGCTCCAGACCTCCAAGGGCACCGCATGTATCTGATGCAGATATGGGTGAACAAAACACTCATACACATAAAAAAAAATCTAAATTAAAAAAATGTAATAAAATATATCCCAAGAGATGGGCTGGAGAGATGGCTCAGAGGTTAAGAGCGCTGACTACTCTTCCAGAGGTCCTGAGTTCAATTCCCAGCAACAACCATCTGCAATGAGTTCTGGTGCCCTCTTCTGGTATACAACAATACACCCAGGCAAAACACTGTATACATAATAAATAAATAAATTATATATATATATATATTTATATATATATATCCCAAGAGATTCCTGCAGAGAGAGCACACAGTGGGGTGTGGCCTGGCTCACCTATGACCCCATTGAGACTCCGGGGCCTTCCAAGCCCTTCATGGCAGGGCTTGGGGACAAACCAGATTCTTGTCCCTCAATCTCTTACTGGGCGAGGGGTTGACAAAACAAAACATTGTCTCTGCTCAAAGACAACACCATCATGTGTTCCACCCTGACAGCTCTATCCTGAGTCTCAGGCCACGCAGATGCATGCGGCATCCCAAGGCTCGTCCTGGTGGTGAGTGTATCACTGTTCAACCTCCTTGTCCTGGTGGTGAGTGTATCACTGTTCAACCTCCTTGTCCTGGTGGTGAGTGTATCACTGTTCAACCTCCTTGTCCTGATGGTGAGTGTATCACTGTTCAACCTCCTTGTCCTGGTGGTGAGTGTATCACTGTTCAACCTCCTTGTCCTGGTGGTAAGTGTATCACTGTTCAACCTCCTCCTGTCCTGGTGGTGAGTGTGTCACTGTTCAACCTCCTCCTGTCCTGGTGGTGAGTGTGTCACTGTTCAACCTCCTCCTGTCCTGGTGGTGAGTGTATCACTGTTCAACCTCCTCCTGTCCTGGTGGTGAGTGTGTCACTGTTCAACCTCCTCCTGTCCTGGTGGTGAGTGTGTCACTGTTCAACCCCCTTGTCCTGGTGGTGAGTGTATCACTGTTCAACCTCCTTGTCCTGGTGGTGAGTGTATCACTGTTCTACCTCCTTGTCCTGGTGGTGAGTGTATCACTGTTCAACCTCCTTGTCCTGGTGGTGAGTGTATCACTGTTCAACCTCCTCCTGTCCTGGTGGTGAGTGTATCACTGTTCAACCTCCTCCCTACAGCAGGGATCAGCATGACACAGAAGACTGAGCTGCCTGTGGGCTGTGCTCACCCCTCTGAGTTGAGGGGACCCCATGACCTCGAGGCCCCGTTTGGTGCCATCCAGGATCCTTTAGGTAAACAACTGATTCACTAGATATTAGTGGTGTTTTATTTTTTGTTTCATAATCAATTTCAAAGAATGCAGATGACAGGAAACCAGGAGGGCCTTGTTCCTCCTCCCAACCCAAATCATACCCAATCCTGGGCCTCCCTGTGGGGAGACAGAGTCGCCTATGGCAGGCTTCCCACACCAAAGAGAATATGGGACATCAAGTCAGAGTGGAATCTGGCTGTGACGGGCTGTAACTGCCCGCCCTGCTATCAGTGCTGCTGCTGG